GTTAAATAAATACGCCTTCGCCCATTTAGTACTACTAAATTGTAAATTTCGATATACTAAAACAGTGTTTTCTGACCACTAGAATTCTGTCAATTCTTCCCCAAAGTCCAGGAAATGGCATTTCAGAGACTCTAAATTTAAAAATTTCCTCGGGCCTTCGGCCCTCGCTTTCAGCCCCCAATTAATTAAAAAGAGCTTCCTACGGCCCTGATATATGCTCCTGCCGCAGTGTGGATTGGTGCATTTTGTAGCCCAATACATGCATTGCACTTGAATTGCGTTGCTGCAGAGCAGATGCCTTAGCTTTTATAGCGATGCAATTTAAAAGCTTTGAGAAAAAAATCCTGCATAGATGAATGAGTACATAAAAATATTGAGCACCAAAAATTCATACAACTTCACCATCCGATATCTAATGGTCTACTCCTTACCACATATATCATAGGGAGCCAATTTTGTATATTTTTGTGTTATTTTCATTTCCAAAACTCCTAATTTTGTCCTACTTTTCTACACATTTTCCTACTTTATTCCTACTTTTCCTAAAATTCTAGTCCTACTTTTGTCCTACTTTGCTACACGAGGATGCCAGAAAGCCTGAACAGGTGATTGGCCGACTATAACATTAAACAATAAACCCTTTGTATTAGATAAGAATGATACTATATTATAAATAATATTAAATTAATTATATTAATGAATTATATTATAAATGAATTATATTATAAATAATAAGTCATAAAATTAATACTCGTCTATCTTTTTAACATAGACAGATTTTCATATTTTTTACTGTGGTGCATGGTGCCAGAAATTTTAGGGGGGGGGGGGAGCCGTGAGCAGGTGACTGAAGCATCACAAAGTGTCACCATACTCCAGTAAGGTCTATATTCTAGAGGTGGAGCACTAGAGATGTGAGGGGGAGTCTAGAGAGCAGAAAACAAAGTATCCCTGGAGAAATTTTTAAAAAATCATGATTCCTAGCTTTGAAAAAGCGTTTTGAAGTGGTCATATCGGTGGACTTGGCATGTCCGATTGTCTGATGAGACTTGGGAGTGTTAAACGAAAAATGAACCTAATAGGCCAATAATTTTACCAGTTTTATAAAGTCATTGACATTGTGTCGTTTGAATCCGAATACATTTTATGATGCAACTCCGATGTAAATAATAATTGGGGCATAAAGATTAAATCTAGGCAAGTTTATTTTCTAAAAGCATTAAAAACTAAAAATAATGTTCGTAAAAAATCCAAATGTTCCTTCCGAGCAAGCTATTTGCATGAGAAGGCACTTCAAACTCTATTCAGGGGGAGATAATAGAGTTTCAGTGAATGCACTGTCTTTTTCTATTTGAGTGTACTCCTACGTTTATTTTATATCCTCAACACTCTGCGTGTTGGAGTGGACTATTTAATTATTTTTTATTATGCCAAATGTTGGGGGGGGGTGGGGTGTTGAAATAGTTTTTTGGAGGGGTGGTCATTTTGTTTGGGGGAGGAGTTATAGATAATATTAGGGGGGGGTAGCACCCCCCCACACAAAATCCGTCTATGCTTTTTAATGTAGTTAACTTAGGTAACTGAGGAGTGCATGATTCAGATTAGCAAGCAAGTCTCCAGGTCTATTGTTCTTGCAATTTTGTATATATATAGCTATTTCAATTAAGGTTGTCCCCCAAGCAAAGCAGAAAAGTCGAATACAAGCACGAAAGGCTGCTGAAAATCGCTAATAAATTCATTTATATTTCTGTATACACCACATATAATACTTAGAGTGATGCTTACATTCTCAATATGTAAGTAAACTTTTACAGATTACTAGCTGTATAAGGATGTATATATGATGGATCTCCAGTGGCATTTGCATGATGTGTTTGGAACAGTGTTTAATGTGCATTATAAAGAAATCTATGGACTTTGAACAAACGGTTTGTCAGATAATATTGCTTGTCATGTGGAAAGAGTTGAAAAATTACTGCTTCAGGTCTTCAGGAGAACTTAAATTTGCTACAACACATTCCTGTGCAATCAGAACTACACCTAGTTGTGTAACAGTGCAGCTGAAAAAAGAACTTGTATAAATTGACAATAATTTGATGTTTTGTATGTTACTCTGAGTGTATATCCACACCGGGCAGGCTAAAAAGTTAGCCTGACCATGGTGGGAATCGAACCCGCAACATTTGGGACACTAGTCCAATGCTCTGCTAACTGCATATACACTCAGAGTAACATCAAAAACAATATTCACCTGAGTACCTGTACATATAAACACCCAAACAATACATTCTTAATAAGAAAATTCTTTTTAAAAAAAAATTCTTGATTTGAGAAATTATTTTCTTGAAATAAGAAATTATTTTCTGATTTTAAGAAAATTTTCTTATTTCAAGAATTTTTTTTCTTGGGAGAATAACAAGAAAATTTTCTTAATAAGAAAGTTCATTTTAAGAAAAATATCTTGTTTTGAGAAATTATTTTCTTAAAATAAGAAATTATTTTCTTATTTTAAGAAAATTTTCTTATTTCAAGAATTTTTTTCTTGGGAGAATAATAAGAAAATGTTCTTAATAAGAAAATTCATTTTAAGAAAAATATCTTGTTTTGAGAAATTATTTTCTTAAAATAAGAAATTATTTTCTTATTTTAAGAAAATTTTCTTATTTCAAGAATTTTTTTTCTTGGGAGAATAATAAGAAAATGTTCTTAATAATAAAATTTATTTTAAGAAAAATATCTTGTTTTGAGAAATTATTTTCTTAAAATAAGAAATTATTTTCTTATTTTAAGAAAATTTTCTTATTTCAAGAATTTTTTTTCTTGGGAGAATAACAAGAAAATGTTCTTAATAAGAAAATTCTTTTTAAGAAAAATTTCTTGTTTTGAGAAATTATTTTCTTAAAATAAGAAATTATGTTCTTATTTTCAGAAAATTTTCTTATTTCAAGAAAACTTTTTTCTTGGGAGAATAACAAGAAAATTTTCTTATTAAAAAAAAAAAATTCTTGATTTGAGAAAATATTTTCTTAAAATGAGAAAATATTTTCTCAATTTAAGAATTTCTCTCAAGTATACTAAAATAAAGAAGCGCGAACTATTGAGTTTAGATAATCCTAATTATGAACGGCTTTTAAGTGAATACCAGCACTTGAGAGGTGTTACTATCGATGACATGACCGATGATAGAAATTTACCTGTACATTTGATAATTGGCGCAAACGAAATTGCCAAAATCCGCACGCAAACCCAGGCACGAATTGGTACCGGTAGACAAGGCGAACCAGTCGCTGAATTAACGCGTTTTGGCTGGGCTATAATGGCACCTGGAGACGGAGCCGATCATAAAACCGGGTTTCTCGCAGTCAACACTACCACTGACTATGATCGTTTGTGTACTCTTGACGTGCTTGGTTTGGAATATTCACCCCCCGGCGATCAGGGGGAGGTCTACAAGGAATTTCGTGAGCAGCTGACCCGCCATCCAGTCGAAGGCTGGTACGAGACCAACCTAACGTGGAAAGGCAACCACCCGCCGCTACCATCCAATCGCTCTGGCAGCCTCACTCGTACGAAAAGCCAAAGCAATAAATTGAGACGAGACGGAAATCTCGAAGCGTATGATACAATCATTCAAGAACAACTCGCCGAAGGGGTTGTTGAAAAGGCGCCTGAAAAAGTCGTGGGAAGAGAATGCTACGTGCCTCACCGCGCCGTTATCCGTGATGAAGCCGAGAGCACGAAGATGAGAATTGTTTACGATTGCTCAGCAAAAGCCGACCGAAATTCCCCTTCGCTTAACGACTGTCTAGACCCAGGCCCCCCTCTACAAAACAAATTGTGGAATGTGTTGGTTCGTGGTAGATTTCACCCAGTGTGTTTGACCGGTGATTTACGCAAAGCCTTTCTACAAGTGCGAATTAGAGACGGTGATCGTGATGCACTTCGGTTCCACTGGTTGAAGAGCCTCGATTCGAACGAAGTGGAAACCTATCGATTTACTCGTGCATTGTTGGGCCTAGCAGCTTCGCCTTTCTTACTTGGAGGTGTTATCGAGGAACATCTTATTGGTTGGGAACCAAGGCACCCTCAAAGCGTACAAGAAATCCGTCGCAGTTTATACGTAGATGATCTGATATCCGGGGGTACAGCTGTTAACGAAGTGCAAGAGCTTAAAAGAAATGCAATTGAGATTTTTGACGACGCCAGTTTTCATCTTCATAAATGGCACTCTAACGTTCCAGAACTAGAGAATATGGAGCAGAGTACCGGAAGTTAGGCTGATATGGAACCATCATTTGTTGAACAACAGTTGAACATAGGTCAAATCATTGGCGATAATAAACAATAAAACATTACACCAAGACAGAAAAAAATAAATAAACAAGGAATTGGTTGGCTTGAATAAGTGAAATCCATGTTAATATCAGAATGTTTGGCAACAATACATACTTACCACAGGCCAGATATCGCCCAGAACTTTAGATTAACATCATCGTCTTATGGCTATTAAAGAGCTTCACTAAGACAATCATTGAATCAAATGTTTTAAAATTAAAACACGGAAAATATTGCTAACTCACCTGATCAACTTACAACATTTGTTAAAAAAGCTAAACTCTATTTTTCCCACCGTGTTCTCATGAAGAGACAGCAATGGCAATCTGGATCACAACTTTAAACAACAAACCCAAGGTTGACATGTTATTGCTTGCTAGGTATTACGTTTATAGATTTAATAAACTTTCAACCAGGATCGTAGTTGGCTATTTTTTAACACAATGAAACAAACAGGTTTCACAAGACGTGATAGCCAAAAGTCAGAAATTTATAAGCTATAGCATAAAGTAAATCAGATTCGATTCATATAATCTTAATCGACCTAATGCGCAATAACATGTCAAATTTGATTTCCTTTTTTATACATCACATTTCTGCTTCTGATACTGAAACCCAGATAACCTGCAATCACAGGTTTATAATTTTCTTTAAACAACGAACAACGAACTATGAACAACGAACTACGAACAACGAACAACGAACAGACTCAAAAGTAAACCGTATATATTCTAATGTAAACACTACACCAATTAATTAGTTATCGCAAAATCAGAATTTTCACTTGGTACAATTCTTCTCAGTTATAACAATTTCTACAACCATTTCCTTTAAAGTATCAACTGCAGCAACTTGGCAACTTTAGTTAGATGAAACTCCTGTGTCACAAACCTAAAGCTAACTATTCATTTTTTACTGTTCTTCCGTGAACCAAAAACGTTGGCAATTTCACGGTGTTGTTTCCACCGAATCGCATTTTAATCAACATCAAGCACACAACCCAAGTTAAAAATTAATATTCTTTTTAATAGATTTGGGCAAAGTGACAATTGCAGAAGCGTGGAATGATTGCGATAAGAACGTTTCCACCCATCAACAGCATGTTAGCAATTCTAATCAAACCAAACGTTATCTTAAATATACTGTAATTTCAAAGAAGAAGTTGATACATTGTCTAACCATTTAATCGCTCGAAACAATTTAAGATGCAGAAAAGGCCATAATAGGAGCATTTTCAGTCAGTAGACCATTCACTGCATGGTAATAATACTATATTAGCTTATTCTTGGAATTCGACTAAAAAGGAAGACGACATTTTAACGATACAGATGATCCCTGTTGAAGATTAAAAGCATTCTTAAATTAAATCACTACAAAACCACCTATACCTATAATCTCTGCTATAGGCACTCACTCCTACAAACTTGCTAAATTTTTTTGTTCCTCTTCTCCGTCCTTTCTTTACTAACACTTTTACAATTAATGACACCTTTTTATTTGTTAAGGAATTACGTGAGTTAAAAATTAATACCAATGATGTCATAATGGCTAGTTTTGACATTATTTATCTCTTTACTAACATACCATTGGATGAAACTATTGATATAATCATTAATAAATGCTTTCCTAGTGCTATACACACTGTCATGCCATCTCTCGCGAACATGATGGTGTTCTATACAAGCAGGTTGACGGTGTAGCAATGGGCTCACTTTGATCTAACGGTTCTTTCGCTACCACGATTCATCTTAAATCTACTTTGATTGTTTACCAATTTTGACAGTTTTATTCAAATGCTGTACAAGAAAGGTTTACTTTTCTCTCCTTTTTCTCGTTATTTCAACATTTGCTCTTTTCAAGCATTTTTCCATTCTGAAATGGAAAAATTCAAGAAAACGTTCTCTGTTAATGGTTATCCTGCAACACTTGTTGATAGTTGTATCAAACCATTTCTTGATAAAATGTATAACTCTCGAAATAAAGTTCATACTTGCTCTAAAAAGTTTATTTATTTTTGTTTTCCTTTCACTGGTCATCATGGTTTGCAAATTCAATCACAACTTCAGAAATTTCTTTCTTCTGCTTATCCACATATTTCCTTTCGTGTCGTCTTTCGTCCTTCTTTCCGTCTTTCGAACTTCTTCGATTTAAGGACAAAATTCCCTGTGAACTGAGATCGTCTGTTGTGTATTTGTATAAGTGTCAATGCTGTGGTGCATTTTATGTTGGTCAAACTCGCCGACACATACACACGCGTATCTCAGAACATATGGGTGTTTCACCTTTGCCTGGAAAGACACGTTCTGTTTCAACCATGTCAGGTATACTCGCTCATATCCATACCACTAAACATCAAATTTCACCCTCTGATTTTGAAATCCTTTCCAGTGCTACTTCTGAAGCGGATTTAGTCATTCGCGAAAGCCTTTTCATATCTAAACTTAATCCTATTTTAAATGCCAACATTAGGTCAACTCCTCTTGACCTATTCTAATGCTTTGCTATATGTCTCTAATTACTAATAAATGCTAACCATTATATCTTTAATGATAGGTTGTTTTTCATCCCTTCCTCTTATTCGCTTCATTGAATAATGTAACAGTTTAAAAATTTGTATATATATAATACACGCTTGTAAATAAGTTTAATTGCTTTGAAGATGTTGTGAACAATACAACGAAACGCTAGCCAATAAATTTTATATTTTTGTTATGTCTTGTCTGAAAGTAATTTGCTGGGCTTTAATTTTCATTTTTAAATTACGCTTTCCACCCGGTGTATCAATTGCGGCTGTTTTAAAACTACAAAACCAGAAAACATCTTACGAGATTTTTCTCTGATTTGCTCAACCTCATTCTTATGGAACTTCACGTCTTCTCCATAGACGGTAAATGGAGCCCAGATTCTAATGGATCGATAAGCTACTATTTCGTGTTTCTGAAAGAGGTTCATTGTTCTTCTTAAAGCTTCACAAACTGATGTTTCTTGGCAAAGTTCGCCATAGAATTTTTCCATAAACTCTTTTGTAGCATTATCGTCAATGGGCCATAATGTGGCAAGAACACAGCGCGCTCCGGCTGCAAGAAATGCTCGAGTTATACCTATGATACCTTCTGAGGTAATTTCACCTTGCCCAGTATGGCAACAGCATAAAACTACCAAGCGAGCTTGTACAGACATATTTAGAATGTCTTGCTGTGTGAGAAGATATGACTCTGGCTTGGGAACAGTTAAAGATGGTTGCACCCCGGAAGAGTTTGGCGCAAGCATTATTTCACCCCGATTCGGTTCTCCATGGGCCGCTATGTGAATTATACTAGCTCCACTTAGGAGTTGCAATACTACCTCCTTTGTTGCATTGCGTTCCAATAAAGGGGTAGCTTGGAAAAGCTTTGAGAGACATTCCACTTCCTTAGCAGCACTAGGAAGACCACGGGGTGTAAAATATTCTCCGTTTAAAGAAACTTTTCCAACCGTTGGATTACCAACAAACAACGCAAAACCAAAGTCTGAGTCACAGGATTGTTCCATGACGCACATTAGGGTATGCAATGAAGGTGTAATTTGAACACTGTAACTGTTGGATAAATAAGAGCCCCTTTCATCAATTAATGCTGAAAACGGTGTAAAAAACAAATGCTGATCAGGGACAACAATGAGCTTATCGCCGTTAAAGTGATCCTTCAGAGGATCAAATAACACTTCGAACAATATTTGCAAAATTTCTTGATCACTCAAATCACTATAGCTAGCAGTATTTTCAAGCGCATTCTCAGAGCATGTGTGTTTGTCTGGTTTTTCAAATAGAAAAATCGTTCGATTATGAGTATCAACAACTGATTTGGAGTTGTAAAAAGAAGAATTCCGATCAACACTAACATTTACCCTGCCGAGAAGTTGCATAATTAGACACCTCAATGATTCCAAACATGCATCCAATTTTCTAAAGATAACTTCATCATTTAAAACCCAAACATTAAGAGAGTCTTCGAAATTAAAAGCGAACAGTAAAACTGAGGTGTAATTTTTTCCAAGATGGAAAAATTTTTGAATTTCCTCTATTACTCTATGCTCTTCTCTGGCGTCGATTCTATTCCATATCGCATGTGTATAATCGAACATGTCCTTGTTCATAGAATTGTTATGTTTTTCAACGCAGTAATGGAGCTCTTTAGCCCTACCAAGGTCAATAACCAATAATGAGGATTCAAAACGCTCCAAAGAAAGTAAACAACTCATTAAAACAATATGAGACCCAAAATATTGCTTCGTGAACGACAGCTTATTTTCATCCGGAACCATGAGTAGAAAGATTTTATCGAAGAAACCGATTGACTTCACTAAGTGTGTTGTTGCAACTTCATACTCTCGAAGACGTCGATGAGCATTTCCTAAATTGCAGTGGCTACTTGCTATTCCAACCCGATCCCCAATAGCAATGCTTATTTCTAAATCTTTTTTGTAACAGACAATGGCTTTCAGATATTCTCCCAAACCCAAATAGGCACTGCCCAAATTGCCATTGTTACTTCCAATTCCCGACTGATTGCCAATAGCAGTGCTTATTTCTAAACCTTCTTTGTAATAGTCAATGGCCTTCTGATATTCTCCTAAACGCAAAAAGGCACTGCCCAAATTGGCATTGTTTTGTACTATTCCTGCCTGATTGCCAATAACAGTGCTTATTTCTAAACCTTTTTTGCAATAGTCAATGCCCTTCTGGTATTGTCCTAAACAGATATAAGCATTGCCCAAATTGCCATTCTCTCTTGCAATTCCTGACCGATAACCAATAGCAGTGCTTATTTCTAAACCTTTTTCGTAATAGTCAATGGCCTTCAGATATTCTCCTAAACGGAGATAGGTATCGCCCAAATTGCCATTGCTTTTTGCTATTTCTGACGGATCGCCGATAGCAGTGCTTATTTCTAAACCTTTTTCGTAATATTCAATGGCCTTCTGATATTCTCCTAAACTGTTATAGGCATTGCCCAATTCGCCATTGTTACTTGCTATTCCTGATCGATTGCCAATGGCAGTATTTATTTCTAAACCTTTTTTGTAATGGTCAATGGCCTTCTGATATTCTCCTAAACTGAGATAGGCACTACCCAAATTGCCATTGTTACTTGCTATTCCTGATAGATTGCGAATAGCAGTGCTTATTTCTAAACCTTTTTTGGAATAGTCAACGGCCTTCTGATATTCTCCTAAACTGAGATAGACAATGCTCAAATTGCCATTCTTTGTTGCCATTCCTAACCGATTGCCAATAGCAGTGCTTATTTCTAAACCTTTTTTGTAATAGTCAATGGCCTTCTGATATTCTCCTAAATATCGATAGGCGTTGCCCAAATTGCCATTCTTAGTGGCTATTCCTGGCCAATCGCCAATAGTAGTGCTTATTTCTAAACCTTTTTTGGAATAGTCAATGGCCTTCTGATATTCTCCTAAACTGAGATAGACATTGCCCAAATTGTCATTGTTACTTGCCATTCCTGACCGATAGCCAATAGCAGTGCTTATATCTAAACCTTTTTTGTAATAGTCAATGGCTTTCTGATATTCTCCTAAAGCGTCATAGGCATTGCCCAAATTGCAATTGTTAATAGCTATTCCCGACCGATCACCAATAGCAGTGTTTATTTCTAAACCTTTGTTGTAATAGTCAATGGCCTTCTGATATTCTCCTAAACCGAAATAGGCATTGCCTAAATTGCCATTGTTACCTGCCATTCCTGAACGATCGCCAATAACAGTGCTCAACTCTAAACCTTTTTTGTGATAGTCAATGGCCTTCTGATATTCTCCCAAAGATCGATAGGCATTGCCCAAATTGCCATTGTGACTGGCTATTCCTGACCGATTGCCAATAGCAGTGCTTATTTCTAAACTTTTTTTGTAATTGTCAATGGCCTTCTGATATTCTCCTAAACTGAAATAGACATTGCCCAAATTGCTAA